TGTAGCTGGTGACAGAAAAACGGGGTATTTTAAAACCATTGCTGCCTGTGGTTTGAAATGCATTCTGGGATACCTGGCTGCCCCAAGTCCACACAAGCAATCGATTATCTAGGATCGACCTGTCTTGACTTACTTTGCATGGCAACCAATCAAATGTTAGAGAAGCTGCCCCTCCTGGACTCCATTTCCCTCTGGACTCGGTAAAGGAACCTGCTAGAAACACGTGGTCTGAAAGTAGTGATGGGCAGATGAAGCTTCGTGAAGCACTGAAGCTTTTCATCCAATTGGTTCATCCCAGCGCAAAGCTTCTTGAAGCTTCATTTGCTCTAGTAGGACAGCTACTGGATGTAAAAATATTAGTTGGCATGAATTTGAAGAGTGTGGCCTTTTGCACACAGCCTGTAAATGTCAACAACAAAAGGAGTGTGCAAAACATGTATATTGTAGTGATGGCAGTATACTGTGTATATTTATAGTGGCAGTATGGAAAATGATTATTTCGAAATGCTTAAAATGGAAATGATCATTTACTGTGAGGTGAGGTGTGGTTGGAGTATGGACAGTAGTTGTGCTTTTGTAACGTTGAGGTATGGACAGCTACACACTGAGCCTCAGTCCTGCCCATATTTTATTGTGTAAAAACTAAATTTTCACTGCTTTTATGACCTTTAGTGGGGAGAACATAGCTAGGATTTAATGATTTAACAAATCTTTTGAATCCTTTGTCCTCCACAATGCTAAATGGCTGGGAGTCCTCAATCACCATGCTAACCAGGTTTTCATCTATTGGAGATTGTTCTCCTGAGGAAAGACAATAAAGACAAAGCACAAATATAAATATCACACACGTAACTTATAACAGCTGTATAATATTGTTATATCATTTAGTAACATTACTGCATGCTATAGTATCATTGCATTTGATGGCTCACCTGGTCTTGCTCCACAATCGGTGTTCCCCTTATTCTCATGCAAAGCTCTGTAGTGCCTAAGCATGGATGAGGTGTTGTTGTTATATCCCAGCTCCCTGGCACAGAGCAAAACTTCACCTTGTACAAAAGTAAAGCCACTTAACATAAATTGTATTGCACCATCAGTATTATAAAAATACATCTTCTGTAGAAATTTACATACCTTGTTGGGAGGAATAGGATCAAAATGTTCCCACACAGGGGAGGACATCCTCCTCTTCTTAGCTGGCTCCATTCTCTCCTGACTTTCTCTCCTCACTCTCCTAAACCTTCAAACTGTCTCCAAACTCTCACTAACCGCAACTCTCTATCAAACACCCACATTTTGAATGAAGTCTGAGGGGTTTATATCGCTGTCATAGCTCGCGGCAAATTCGAACCACTTCATGAACCAGTCACGTGGTACAGCCGGGCAGCGAGGCTTCGGACGTCATCATTTTCAGCTCCTCCCATAAATGAAGCAAGCCTCGATACGCGCATCGCGGAAACGCCCCCTCCATTACTCGACACAAGCTTCGAAGCCTCGATACAGAACGTCACATCACTATCTGAAAGCCCTCCATTTGTTGATAGCTCACCTGGATAACGCTCCCTGGGAATTGCTACAAACAAGTAAGCAATCTTCTCTTGCAACTTTTAACTCACAGGTGTCAAACTCCAGGCCTCGAGGGCCAGTGTCCTGCAGGTTTTAGATGTGATCTTGATCCAACACAGCTGATTTAAATGGCTAAATGATCTCCTCAACATGTCTTGAAGTTCTCCAGAAACCTGGTAATGAACTAATCATTTGATTCAGGTGTGTTGACCCAGGGTGAGATCTAAAACCTGCAGGAGACCGGCCCTCGAGGCCTGGAGTTCGATACCCTTGCCTTAACTTCAAACAATTTAATTAAAATTATCGATCCTGGACTAGTATTAATAACAAAATGATATAATGATAATCAGTGGAAACTAAAATCATGAACCTTTTGAGGGCTGGATTGAAAATCACACGAAAAATCAAAGTTGCGAGGATCAAACACATGTCATAATGCGGTTCAGTAGTGCGTGTGTTCCCCACGTGCCTGCATGTAGTCTTGACAACATCTGGGCATGCTCCTGATATAGGTAGATGGTTTCCTCCAAGATCTGGATCAGGGCACTTCTGAGCCTCCTGACCCTCTCTGGAACTATTTGGAAATGTCAGCTTACCTGTACATAGCGGCCCAGAGGTTCTTGGTTGGATTCAGATCTGAGAAACATGGCTCGCCGATGACATCAATGCCTTTATCCAGGAACTGTCTACACACTCTAGCCACATGTGGCCTGAGAGGGACCACTGTACCATCAGGTTTTACAGTGGGTCTCTGGGTTTCATCCTAGTACTTCACTGTAATGTTGATGGTGGAGGTCTGTTTGACCGTTCAAGAATACAGCTAAACGAACTATGACAGACTACATATAGCAGAATGAAGTATATCTTAATCCAGCATCAGTTATTTCAGTTATCAGTTATCAGTTGTTGTAGCTCAAATCTCTTCACATCCGCTGATCTAATTGAAAATGTATTCTGACTGTCATTTTAATGTTTTGTGAGTCTCTCCTCTCTTCTAGCTCAGCTGGTTTTAATCAGTACAATCGCAGTAGAAGTGTTATTAATGTTTATTCATGTTATTAATCTCCAAGTGTTGCCTATACTGCATGTTAAATGATGTGTCAGCCTGATGTTTTTGAACCTGACGCTGCTACTCTGAGCATCATCCCAGCAGGTCAGTCTTCTTTTATTATGAAACCATAAATCTGAGCTGTGCGGTGCCAGGCAGCTTCAGCAGCTGGACAGTGAAGAGAAACACCTCCACATGCTCTTCTGCTTAATGTGAGACCTGGGGCCAATTACATGAGTCATCCTGCATCATCAGGAGGTTGGGAAGCCCATCTGTAACCGGAAGGTCGCCGGTTCGATCCCCGGGCTCTCTGTCCTGGTCGTTGTGTCCTTAGGCAAGACACTTTACCCTACCACCTACTGGTATTGGCCAGAGGGGCCGATGGCACGATATGGCAGCCTTGCTTCTGTCAGTCTGCCCCAGGGCAGCTGTGGCTACAACCGTAACTTGCCTCCACCAGTGTGTGTGAATGAATAGTGGCATTGTAAAGTGCTTGGGTGCCTAGAAAAGCGCTATATAAATCCAATCCATTATTATATATTATATTACCCATCCGACAGTGGAGTGTACTGCTGTGAATCTGACAGCGGGGAGTGCAGCAACACCATCAACATCACAGTGTTGTTTCTGTTGTATCTTAATTAAAGAAAAATATGTAAAAGAGTCTACATCAGATTTGAGTACTGGATTCTAAAAGGCCTGAGGGACGACAGTGCCTTATCCATGTGTCCAAGGAGAATTAATGCTGACGTGCGACAACCCCACAAAAAGGAGAATCATTTCAGAGCTGGCTGGGAGTGAGAGGTGATAATGATGATGATGTTAGGTTTGATTAAGCTTTTGTCTGATGACTTGTGAGTACACTTATTGAGTAAAACCATAAATCAAAACAGTCATCCTCCTGTTTCAGTTGTTGGTGCCACATTACCCATAATGCACCACAGCAGCTTTTAGTTCAGTCAGACATTGGAACCATAGAGTTAAACTTACCTTTGGAAAACATAAATGCTTTAAGCTCCTCCAGTCTCCTATGCAAGAACACTCCCTAACTCCTGGTTTGCTTTTGATTTGTCAACAACAATCTAATACAATAACACACACCTGCACTGAATTAGCTTTCCAAGGGAAAAATAATTAATTAATAAAATGTGGTGAAGTAATTTGTCTTTATCCATACCAGCAGCAGCTGATTGTTTGAGGGAAACATTTGAAAGTTTTTTAATCATTTGCTAAATACAGGCAGATGCTGCTATGACACACATCTACACTGTAAACCCGAATAAGTTACCAGAACTCAAAAAAATTGAGGCAATCGATTGCCTCAATTTTTTTGAGTTGATCAACTCAAAAGTCAAATTTTTCCAGAACATAAAAGTTTGGATTACATGGTACTTGTATCTTTTGAGAACGGTCAACTCAAATATTTGCAGTTAATATGACTTAAAGTTTCAAGTTTACAAATTCAAAGAAATAAGTTCACAGAACTTATAAAAAATAAGTACACAACTACAACATTTTTATGTTAACAAAACTCAAATGTTTATTAGTTTGTGTTGTCATTATTTTAAGTACACGTTAGTCAAATATGTTGACTACTTGATACTTAAAAACATGTGACCCAAAACTTAAAATTTTTGAGGCAATTGATTGCCTCAATTACACTGAGTATCGGTAACTTAATATGCAAAAGTCATAAACATCTGCCATTGAACAGTATCTTGCCTGCTCCCTTTTAGCACTATGTTGAAATTAAATACATTTTTAAAAAAAATTACATAAATTAAAAATAATTAACAAAAACATTTATAAATTAAAATAAGTAGACCAAAAATTGTTTAGTCAGGAAAACTGTCAGAGTAATGAAACATAATGCCAAATATTAATATCAAAATGTGCTTTTGGCTCTCTGGCTAATATCTGAATAAGACAACAAGGCAGCAATTTGAGTGAATTACAATGCTATTTGTTTTACATTAACCAGTATCAAACAGTGAAATTTAGGTCATCTTGCGCAGCCCACAATGTTTTAGAAATAGTATTACGAAAAACATTAAAACATACAAAACATTAGTGTTGTTTGCATTATGTTAATGAGAACAAAGGCACGTTGTATAGTTTGGACCTATTGGCTGAATACCTGTAGAGTAATCTAATAATGTTTTGAGGCATTATTTAGATGAAAGGAGAGAACTTTGAACTAGCCTTTTATAATGCTTCACCCTGCATCCTTCTTTCAGATGAGTTCCTACATAACCAAGTCATTCTTGAGGGTCTGTAACCTGGGTGACAGTTTACCACTTTCTAGACCAAATAAAATCTTTTGAGTAAATTCTAAAGTGTTGGTCAGGGCTTTGGGGTAGCTGAGGTGAAGTGTATAGATCAGTCCAAACATTACTAGGAAGGCTTCACCAAATCTGGGGAGACTGAACACGGCATCACTTTCAATGACGACAGAGATTTTCACAGGTTGGTAGTGAACTGGACTTGTTGTGTGATGGTCACTGATGACAGTGAAGAGGGCCACTTCAACACCATCAAGCTCCAACTCATCAGATTCGTCCTGAATTAATGAAAAAGAGATACTAATCACAATCTAACCCAAGAAATACAACAGACGACATATAATTTCTCATTTTACCAACTCCCACTGAGATCCAATACCTCTTTTACAAGGGAGACCTGAGTCTCACTGTAAGAGGTGAAAAACAGAAGATCCATGTTCTGCACACATAAATCAGCTAATTCACCAGAGAATCAAGTGGTGTGAGATAGACTGAAACTAAGCTAAAGGAAATACACAGGAGTAGACTAAACAAAGGTAAGTCCAAACAGTGCATCAAAATACATGTTTGTACTTTGATGCACTGTTTATATACACAGTAGTATCTGTTAGATACTTAAGGACACTCACAGTGCAGGTTCTGAAAAATCCAGAGACATCCTCATGCAGATAGACAGGAAGGGCAGGGAGAACGGTAGTGCACTTGGTGTGGATATCATGGATTTCCTATTTCCAGATAAAAACAGAATTTTATATACTGGTGAGTTTACTGAACAACAACAAAAACAACAGTCAAATCAGAACATATGTCCACAAATAACCTGTTCACATCTTTAATACAGTCAGACAAATAGCAAACACAAAGTGGAGTAATAGCAAAATTCAAAAAGCTCATTTAAATCATTGAACCTATGAAATGTTCCACTGGTTCAACCTATGAAATGTGTAACAATCTATTATTACCTGTTCATTGTGAATTCTTAGAATTTCAACCAGGGCATCTGCTGTCTTCCCAGTTTTTGATGCCCTGGCTGAATAAGGTCATCAGACGAGGAAGATGGCGGTCAAGTTCAGCGTAGAATGTATTGGGCAGGTTCTGATTTGTAATCCGCTGAAACTCTGCATACAACTACAGCAGAAGGACAATACAGTTCAATTTGAAGAATCTCGCACATCTTTATAAAGCAGCAAAAAGCTGCCACATGAGTAAGAATTACAATTTTCATTTTAAAGAGAGCTGATCCATATTACCTCAGACTCCATTTTTAGAGCAGGCCAGAGGTCCAAGAGCTCCTTCACAACCCTAACCCTGCACATATAGTTTAAAATATAGCGTTTCTAACAAGAAAACTGCTTGAAAGCACTCTCACTGCAGACAGGCATCTCCGTTGTGTAACTGCAGGGACAACGGGCTTGTTTGGACCCAACTATTCTGAGTCATGAGAGGGGGTTTAAAAATTTAGAGAGATTAAAATACTTTGTTTCATACTAGGCGACCGGGCGCCACCTCTAGAGCAAGTAGTATCTAACTTTTTAAACAGCCTGCGACCCTCATTACAACAACTTAATGCTAGCTCTGCAAGCGCAAAGTTTCCTTCGGGGAGAGCAGCAAAGCACATAAAAAACACGGACCGACATTTCTGCTATTCTTTTCGACACGCACCCAAAATACAACTAAATATTCGTATTTTAACAATAAACTAATATCAACATTGAAAACTTACTGTAAGTCCAGTGATGCTAGTTGCTGCCGTTAGGTCCAACTTTCTCCAGTCGTCCGTGTTGCCTCTTTGGTGCTGTTCTCGCCCATATACCTTTACTTCTTCTGTGTTTCTTATTAATGCTCATTAGCGCCGCCTTCCGCTTCGGAGGGTGAATCAGAGATTAACTCGGAATAAAAATTGATTCCTGCAGCTGCTCAACACTTACGGAAAAAATTAAAAATATATATGTAGGACACAGTGATAAAACAATGAATATTAAAATAAATACATTTTGTCTTCCACTAATGCATTTAAGACAATTTGATTTTACTTATTTGGTGAAACACTTTGAGATTTTATTGTATTTTAGCATGTGCTACATAAATTAAGTTTATTATTAAATCCTACCTACTTGAAACAACAAAAATAACAGGACTTTACCATTCTTATATGTCCTAACTTAACTGTGTTACGTTGTGCTTAAGTTATTATTTTAAGTGATGCTTACTTAATATAGAAATAGTTAAATTCAATCAAATATTATTAGTTTCATTTACTCAAAAAGAAGAACATGTTATACGAACTTGACATATTTAAGTTAACAGAACTTTTTAAAGACTTTGAGTATACACTACTTAATCTGTTTAATTACTTTGAACATTCGGGTTTACAGTCTACAAACTAGCTAAACGGATACAGATTTTCTTTTTGTTTTTCTTTTGGAACTGAAACTCAAAGTGTAGAAAATCCTAGTGTTCTGAAAGTGACAGCAGCAGTGGAAATTCCCCCAATCTGCCAAATTTTAGTGCTTAAACAAAAACAGGTTGTTATAGTGCTTAAAAACAAGCAATGATTGACAGTAAAAGGAAAAACTGAGTGGGGACATTGAGTCCTGGGAGGGAACAGCAAAACAAGTGCAAGTTTGAATCATAGGTTCCTGTGACAACTATGAAAATTTTGCTACTACAAGTCATCAAAACAGGGCTGTTATTGGACAGAAGTCAGCAATGCAGTGATCATTAAGACAGGACACTGGCACCAAAGTGCACCTCATCTGTAATGATGAACATATCAAAGGTTTAGATGTACACGATGATCTTCGATGTCTGGGAAATGAAGAGAGCAGTGTCAGCTGTGTCAACAAATGACCACTTCAGAAAACAATTTTCAGGATCTCTGTGTTTTTTATTAACATGTATAATACACCATGTTGTAAACTGAATTGATGGAAGTAATATTATTATTATTATTATTATTATTATTTTACTTGACCTTACAGATGGTTTAGCTGACATTTATAATCTTTAATAGGTTTCCTTAAATATATGACCATTTTTCTTTAAAATTTCTTTAGAGTAAAATAAATAAAATCAAGTTTAATTACCAAGCAAACAAAAGAAACTGTCAGTGAAATGACATCTCAAAGCAATCAGAGAGGTTGTACCGGGCCTCTGTGCAGTCAAAATGAAAGTGAAAGTACAACCTTGAGAGTGACACATAAAAATGAGGGGCGAGGATATGTGCCAAGTCTTTTGTTTTTTCTGTTTCCAGGAGCCAAGGACAAACAGATACACATAGCTTCAGAGAGGGTCACGTGACTGTATACACCAAGATGTATGCTAAAATGATTCCCCATTCACTGAATGATATTCCTGAACTTTTCTGAAATAATAATGATGTAAAGAAAGAAGTGTGCAAAATTTTAAACGTGGGACTGTTGAAGGCTTTCTTGTGAAGGCTGTTGTTCATTTTCAATCCCGTGACTCCGTTTTTTTTTAGATGCATCTGAAAAGTATTCACTTGTTCTCGTTTCACTTTTTCCACATCATAATATGTTATAGCTTCCTCCAAAATTTATTTTTTCACTTCAAAATTCTAAGCACATTACCCCCTAATAACTAAGTGAATAAAAGTTTGCTTAAAATTGTTGCTAATCTCACATAAAGGGGCCAGGAGTTACTGCACATCGGCTACAACATGAAACTGACAAGATTTGAAGAGTCTTGCTGCTCCTTTAACATACCAAAGGAACTAACGCGACCAGTGGGTGATACGTGGATTGTTATTGTTACTCACAGATGGGAAAGATGGAGGATAGAGGAAGCAGAAGCAGGGATGCTGCTCAAAAGTACCAGCCAGACACAGTCTAGGAGTGTTTCTCAGCAATACACAATCCCTGATCAAAAAAAAGAACAAGTTTGAACTACTCATTCATGCAAATTTCTATGTCTGAGAGAGCTGCATTTCAATAAGATCCAACACACCTGTGGAGCAAGGAGACGATAGGGGGGGTTGTGCATTTATATGCTGGTCTGGAAAAAGAATGATGACACACACACACTGCTGACTGGACCTAGAGTACTTTCCTGTTACACCACAACCTTTTTTTCTATGGAGGGAGCTAACAGTCTTGCTAATTATGGAGGCTAACACTAATTAAACTAACACTACCAATATGTACAATATGTAACACGTGCGACCAGAAAGGAAAAAAACTTTGGATCATGTTTATACAAACATAAAGATTCAGGTAACCCCCACATTTAGGCCAGTCTGACCACTTCCTCTGCTCCTCTCTTATGCATATACACAACAAGGCCCAACGTCAACATCAACTGCAGGACTGTTTCTCTCGCACTGAGAAGAGTGTCTACAGTTAGCCAAAAGGGTCCTAAACGTAGCCATAATGGTGAAATCCAGATATAATGTATATCTGGCATATACATTACATACATTCCCACATAGCAAAATTGGTATGGCCCCGACCTGGCCCACACAATGTGCTTACACATGGCCCACATACCACTAAAAATGACGGCTCTTTGGCGGCCCAGATCAGGTGTGCCAGTGGTGGTTCACACATGGGCCAGCACAAGGCCAGTTACAAGACAGTCTTGATTAGTCTGAAGAAGTATCAGCTTTCAAAACATGTTTTAAAAACTGAAGTTCTGATATTGTTTCAGAAAAGTTATGTTTTCATCTCTAACCTTTTAGCAGCCAGAGGCCAGGGAAGCAGAACATCATATCACGAAGGCCCTGAGTAAATTCCCAGCTGGGAAAGTACCCAAAGAATGTTTCAGAGAGATAAAGGACAACTGCTGCCTAAGGGAAAACCTTAAGTGATCCCATATGTGTCCAGAGTTTCACAACAGATCAGACATATTTTCTTAAAACAATATCTGTGCCTTTCAAACCCTAAAAACATGCTACCCCAAAATTAATCACTATATATATGTAAATTGTGGGGGTGCCAGGTGAAGAAGCCATGCTGTAAGTGACTAAGAGCTAAGCTAATAGCTAGGCTAAGCTAGAATCCTCAAAGACAGAATTAGTTAATACTGTGAATTTTGCTTTAAACTATGTGAAGATCACACTATAAAAGAAGTTGTTATGTAAAGGTTTTTATTTAGAACAGGCTACACACATGAGCCATACAAAGCGCCACCAAGTGAGAATCATTTACCATGGCTCATTTATCATAAATTAGCGAGCAGCCTTGGGAAGAAGTAATAGTTTTCAAAACATGTTTCAAAACTTAAGAACCACTAGCCCAGGCTGTAAGACAGGATGTTTTAATTTCTGGTATTCGTGTTAAAGAGGAGATTACCAAGGCCCAGACTTAAAATGGCCACACTCCAGATGTCCAGTCGAGTTGGAGGTGTTGATTTACCCAATCTGCGACTTTACCAACTTGCTATTCATCTTACAGTGATCGCAGACTGGCTCAGATGCGACTCTACCCCGATCTGGCTTGATATTGAATCCTCTCAGTCCAAATGTCCCCTGTTTAATTTGTTAAAGAGATCAGTCAAGTCAAAAAACTCTCCAACAATCTTATTATCCTATGCTCTGTCAAGGCCAGGAGGTCTGTCCGTGCTTTGGAGGGTCGGGCCCATTTGACATCCTCCCTGGCTCCTGTTATGAATGGCCCTTATTTCTTGCCTGGATGTCTGGACCGGGGTTTTGTGGTCTGGTCTAATTTGGGGCTGGTTAACTTGGGTGATCTGTTTAGAGGCCGGACCCTTCTTTCCTTTCAGCAGCTTCAACAATGTTTTGGCCTTCAAATTTGGAATTTTTTAGATACCTGCAACTGAGGCACTTTATAATTAATGACACCACCCTATTGTTGGACCCTACTAGGTCCGCAGTGGAGGATGCTTTGTCCTCCCTGCAGTCTGGAAAATCCATCAGTTCCTTTTATAAGGTTCTTAACTCTAGCTCAGCCCCTCGCTTCCTGGCTGCTAAACAGGCCTGGGAAAGAAACCTATAGGCTGCTCAATAAATGTTCCAGACTGGCAGGAGATTTGGGCCTGTGCTTCTAAGATATCTGTCTGTAATCGGGCTAAATCAATTCAGTTAAAAATTGTTCATCGGGAATACATCACACCCTCTTTAAAAAGTAAAATAGATGTAAACTCCTCCCCTTTATGCTGGAAGTGTAATGTGGAGGAGGGTGATTTTATGCATTGTTTTTGGTCATGTGTGAAAATTCCATATGTCTGGTCTGATGTTGAAAAGGTGCTTTCAGTTATTTTCAACTCTGTTGTTCCTCTGGACCCTCTCTGTCTTATACTGGGAGTAATGGAAAATCTGGTTATCAAAGGCAAACACAAGAGACTGTTCCAGCTGTTATCTTTTGCGGCCAGGAAGAATATCGTGCGCCTCTGAGGCAGGCCAGCAATCCCAACGAAGAAATCCTGGCATATCATTGTTATGGACTGTATTCCCAATGAATATATAACTTGTATGCTCAACTCCACCTTGGACTCTTTCCACAGAACCTGGGACCCATATCTGAAATACGTTGGACCTGTACTTTCATCCTCCTTGTTGCGGGGCTTTCCAAACTGAATTAATTTGCCTGAATATTGGTCTTCTTGATTTGTTTTGATTCCTGGTGGGGTTGTGGTTTACCTCAACTGCCTTGTATGTGCCTCAGAACCTTGTATTGCCTGAGCTAAGTTCTGTTCTGGTTCTTGTGTACTTTTTCTTTTGTCATTGTCTGTTACTATGGAAAAAAATTCTAATAAAAATATTTTTAAAAAAACCCCAAAACAAAGCAAAGCAAAACAAAACAAAAAAACTTAAGTTTAGACATAGTTTTATAAGAGTTAAGGTTTCATCTCTAACTCAGCATTTTTAACCATAACTGCTTCAGTCAAGGCCTGAGCTCTCTCTCTCTCTCTCTCTCTCTCTCTGAGTAGATGTGGTGGATAAGTGAGTCTTGGAGCATGTTGCTCCATGGGCAAATTTCCTGAAACTTTTCTCTTTTTTGTGTGTGTACTAGTGATGTTCGATTTGTGAACGAATCATTCAATACTCGAGAATCACTTTACTGACTCGTGAATCATGGTTCACAAGCGCAACTGACTCACTGACTCACTGACTCATCCCTGTTGCTGTTATCAAACTAATTCCATTAGTAGAAATATATCTAGCTTATAATTAAAATTGTGGGGAAAAAACAACAGCCAGTTTCTTAACAAAAACATTTCTGCTCTGAACTGGAAGAAAAAACCCTGAGTAGAAGCCCACATCAAGACAATAGCTCCTCGGTTCACAGTAGCATCGCTCTGCTAACATGCTAACAGCACATTTGAGTTACTCACTCCCTCCCTTGCTGTGCTGAATCGTAGCGTAAGCGAATCACTCAGGACTCACTCACCCCCTCCCTCCTGGCTCACAGCTCAAACGAGTTGAATGAATCACTGACTCACTCACCCCCTCCCTTCCTGTGCTAAATCGTAGCATAGACGAATCACACACTCACCCCCTCCCGAGAAGGGTCTGGCTGCAGCCACTGTGGAGCTCCACAGTAACCGGATACACGTGACCTCCACACTAACCGGAAACACGTGACCTCCACAGTAACCGGAAACACGTGACCTCCACAGTAGCCGTAAACACGCATGGATACCGTGGAAGTCTTGCAAGTTGATCGCAAAGGTTGGGACAGAGTCTTTCTTAAATAAATTTGCCGTTAGTGAGTTCATAATTCTAGGAATCGTCTAGTTTTCTTACAATGATCATGTTGCCACTTTTTTTGCGTTACAACAACATTCCTTCTTATTTTAATGTTTTTTCATCGTGCTCCATGGCAGAGAAACACACAGATCAATATCTCATTGTCGGCATTGTCAAGCTGTCGTAGGTAAGTACATGTATTGTCTCATGACCAGAACGCTACCATTGTTTACATGTTAGATTTGTTCCTATCTCTGTGTGTATATTCTTTTCTTTGTGTACCTAGCCCCACAGGTGTGCAATAAACTCAGAGAAATCACAGAAACGGTGTTGAACCTGGCACCTTCAATGTCTGGTGACACTGGTAAAAGTTCTTATTTTGAATAGTGATTGTCATATATAGGTGAAATAATAATCTTGCATTCATTATCTTGTTGTAGTTGATGGCTCATAAACGAATTTGTTACATGCTGTTTCAAATGAATTTCCTTCTATAGATAGTGCTTATTTTTCTTGCATTTGTATGCATTTAATATGCATTCTATGTAGTGTTTTGTCTGAAACCTGTTAAAATCCCTATAGAACCTCAGGAAAGAGTTGACAACAAGAAAGCCAATAGAAGGTCTCAACAGATGTAACTTTTCCTGACCTGTGTGGACAACCGTGCGAAGCTCTGACAAAGCCTGAGAACATTTTGGCCAGCCATTCATTGTGGTGTTTTGTACCGCACCCTGGCCAACAACAGCTTGTATGTTAAAGTTTTCAGATGTCGCAAAGTGCAACTTTTAGTGCTTATCTGATTTTGTCATCCACAGTCTATGACACCTCTCTGTTTTTTTTAGCTCAACTATGTTCTGGACATCAGCAGACCCAAAGATGAGCTGATTGTTGAAAGGTCGTCTGGATGCCTCACGTGGGCAGATTTTTGGACACTGGGTTTAAACAAAGAAATGGAATCGACTGTAAGTATTATTTTTCTATGAATATGAAATAATAAAGTGTACATTCATTTTTTTCTGATTTTTTCTGTTTCAGATTGGAAATGGCTGTTTTGAGCTTATCACTAAAATTTTTCAGTCAAAGGTACTGTATGTTGTATATGATGATTGTCAAACTTTAATTTAAAGAGTTGTTGTTTTAAATGTTTTTTGTTTGTTTTTTTACATTCTAGGGGATAAGCATTTACATAGAAAATCTGTATGTCACCCGGACTTGGCTTGCACCCTATGGCTGTGATCCATTGCAGTCCTTTCCTGTAAGTGTACCGTCCTTTAAAGAAACAAGCAAGTAATCAAAATGATTTTTTTTTATAACTTTGGTGCACGTTTATATACAGGATACTTAAAAATACAATTCTGTTTCAGACTGATGCTCAGAGGATGCACATCATAGTTCTCCCTCTCTGGACACCTGGTCATTTCCAGTTGTGTGTAAGTCTTGTTTTTTGACACATACAAACTGTTAGAATTTCGCTATGTGTCTGAGATGTATTCAAGCTTTTATGACGCAGTTTCAAAAGTCTTTGATTGTGATCGCTTGCAATGACATTGTTTTCAGGTTTGAAGTCATGGCTAACTGTCTTTTAGGTACTGAAGCCACCTAAAAGAGAAATCCTCTTTCTTGACCCATTATACACCAAGGCAGGATTTGGTGGCCAACAATATGTTTCACTTTTGAGGTCACATTTTTATAAGCATTTTTGGTTTGTCCCGGAGTTTTCAGGAACCTGTTAAGTGCATCCCAGATCATGTTCTGCTGATCTTGAGTGTTCACACATACAGTACACTCACATGCTTTTTTTATAAACTATATCAACAAGTTTCTGTGTGGAGTTTGCCTGTTCTCCCCGTGTTTGCGTGGGTTCCCTCCGGGTACTCCGGCTTCCTCCCACCGTCCAAAGACATGCAGCTTGTGGGGATACGTTAATTGGATAATCCAAATTGCCACTAGGTGTAACTGTGTGAATGAATGTGAGTGTGAATGGTTGTCTGTCTCTGTGTGTTGGCCCTGCGACAGACTGGCGACCTGTCCAGTCTGTCGCCCTATGACAGCTGGGATAGGCTCCAGTGCCCTCCGCGACCCTGAAAAGGATAAGCGGAAGCGAATGGATGGATGGATGGATGGATATATCAGCATGATGCTTCAGCATTTTATTCTATTTCTCATCTTCACATTATGATCAAGTCAGTGATGCTGTCTTTAGATGACTTTCAGACATAAATAGGGTCTTCCAATGTTCTAGTTTAACATAAAACACCATTAAAAATTAGTTTATAAAATATGCCAACCTTAACTTAAAGCTGTAAATGCTTTATTTTGACCAACTGTGAGCATGTGACTGTACTTTTTCATTTTGTTATGCTGTTTTGTTGAGGTCGTGTTCCCAAGGCCTGTAGTTACAGTTGGTGCTATTAGCAATAAACATTTCACACCCATCATCATGACATCTGTTAACTTGTGAATGTAACTGTCTTTTTTAAAAAAAGGAATCTTGCAGTGAAGATCATTCCCGGGCAGTGGTCAGAAAAAAAGAGCTTTGACTTGAAGGTATGTGCTAGTTTAAGTGTATGGTGAATGATATGAATTAGTCTTCTTTTAAGGGATTTTATTAACGAGCCTTTATTTTCAATGTAATACAGGGTTTTCCAAGCCAAGACTATGGAGTTGACTGTGGGATCTTCATGCTGATGGTAATTTTTCTCTTCTCTTCTTGAGATTCATACAGAAGCTAATTTAAGCTTCTAAAAAAATGACATTTTTATTTTTTCTTCCAAATAGTCTGCTCTGTACGTGGCACTGGATGCTTCATTTGACTATACTATAGTAAGTATTCTATTTACTTTCACAGCAATGGAGTCTTGGATCTTTTGAAAGTTGTTAAATATGTTTCATATTAATATTTTACAGTCAGACATGCCCTACTTGCGTAAATGGTGGTGCTTGCTGTTGATGGAGAACTTTGATCCCAGGAGGTATTTATATTTTGACTTCTGTTCTATGTTGTGTCAAAGTTTACACACCTTAACAATATCAACATTTTCTGTTAAGCTCTGGCAAGCTATTTGCACACTGGAGAGAGGAAGCCAAAGCTGTGCTTGAAGGACAACACGTGCCCATTTTCAGACTGAAAAAGCGCAAGTTCCAGGAAGTCAGGTCAGTATTCACTTTAAACAGTAGTGTAATTACATGTTTAGTGACATTTGAATAACTGTTAAAAAACTGTTCTGCAACAGAGAAATAACTATGTTTTTGTCCCCATTTGCCTGACACAGGAGCCAGCAGTTGTTGAAGATCTGCGTCCTGCTGTGCAGTGGGTTGTCCAAAATAAGGCACTTTTCCGTGGACACGTAACAATGCCAAAATATCTGTCCTTAAATCAAGGGGACCAGCAGAGGGTCTTAAGAGACATGTCAGAGGAAGAAGACACTGGAGCAAGGGACTTGTTCCTCTTTGTTTTTCAGTTTGCAGAGGACATGGAGCTCTTTTTGAAAGCATGTGCTGATGAGCAGGGACTAAGGGTCAGTGCTATGTTTGACATGTAATGGACAAATGAAGGCACTGGCTGTGTTTGTTTAATATGTCGTTGTTGTTGTTTTTTGTTTTGTTTTTGCATAGTACAAAATTCCAATTAAACTTATTTCAAAATGTTGTTCACTTGATTCTGTGTCCATACTTATAATAAAGGATTACAGTGTAACAGCATTAAATGTAAATGTAACAGCATTTTTTTAAACTTGTATTTTCAAAATAAAAAGCTTATTGTTGATATTAACAGTAAAGAATTGTAATCAATAATATTTTTATACATTTTAAACATTAACACTCTGGGCTCTATCCTGGCCATTTGTGGACACTTCACTTATTCTTTTTTTTTGACTACTGCACTGCAGTGGACCAAAAGAATGACACGGGTTTGATCTTAAGGATCTAATAGTTGTGTGTGTTGTGCATGACATTACCACACATATATGTATTTGCAAGATAGAGTAGAATAAATTATGACGCATGAAATATTACATAGGCTGCAGTGAATTTCTGTTGATACAGACTATTGAGCTTTGAGTTTCCCAGTCAAACTTAGCTTTGAAGCACCTGCTAAAAACACTTTTACTTCTGTACATTTCATAACAAGACACCATAGCCAAAATATTAACAAAATATATATTATTAAAAAATTCAAAGCTGCAGCACATACAGCAACAAACACCGTTAGTAAATGTGTCCTGGAGTTTATGCAGGTGCAGAAAGTGCTGCTGCTGTAAGTCAGCCTAACAGCTTCCAGATCACTTATTTTTCTGGAAAGATGGTAGGAAGGGCATCACTGCTCATTTCTACAATCTCCCAGATCTTGGAATACAATCCCTTTGTACCATGAAACCACTTCGCAGTACTAGGAGTCCACTAAAACCTATAAAGAGAGTGATCCTGGAAGAAATGGGGCAAACACTAGTGACCTCAACAATTGCAAGACAGCCTTTTCCCCGATGCTCAGATGGGGAAAAAAAGGAAGTTTCATGAAAACATTAGGACTTTATAACCGTTTTATCTGAAAAGTTAATGGTAATATATAACCTAACTGGCTATAAAGAGTAAAAAATTTAGATACAATTTTGATTTTGATGAAAAGGACTGGTGCTATTTTAAAGAGTCAGGTCGGTAAAAGTAGATAAATGTTTTAAGAAATCTACATTTTATAGCATTTTGTGAACATACACAAAAAGTGGCCATTTTTGGAAACAAACAAGCTGAGAGAGAGTTTTATATTTTTTGCTCTCCTTGAACAAAGATAACAGTGCATAATAATCAATGTTGATGTTAATCAATTAGATGTCCCAGACACTGCTATTAATAATACAGCAGTCCCTCGTTTATCGCTGGTGTTACGTTCTAAAAATAACCCGCGGTAGGTGAAATCCGTGAAGTAGCCAACTTTATTTTTTACAATTATTATAGATGTTAAGACTGTAAAACCCCTCACTACATGCTTTATACACTTATCTCAGACAGGCATGAACATTTTCACACTTTTCTCTTTTGTTTAAACGCTCTTAGAGTTCAAATCTTCGTAGAAACACAAGTCCAGTATTATGGAATGAAACCAAAAGGTGCATTTGAGGGTGCAAAACATTTCGTCGGCATTGTTGTGTTTGTTTGGGAGAAAACTTACAAACATACAGTACAGCACTTCAGAGTTACACTGCTAGCGATCGAAGATTTATGTAAATTCGACAAGCTAAACGCATTCTGTACTGTACAGCAGGAGTCCCCAACCTTTTTGCACCACAGACCACTTTAATGTCAGACAATATTTTCAGGGAACGACCTTTAAGGTGTCGCGGATAAATACAACAAAAGAATAAAAAAAAGAAACTGTGGTATTTTGTAAATATAATAATAAACGTGACTTGAGCTGTGCGCCAACAACAATGACAGTGACATCCTCCTCTCTGCTTCTTAATGCTCTCTGGTCGCTATGGTAACGCGTAAATAGTTCTTTCAAAATAAAACACACAACTACAACCATACATTTCACACCGGAGCCTCAACTCTCGCAGAACGGTACCAAAGGACTCACGGACCGGTACCAGTCTGTGGGCCTATTAGGGACCGCTCATGTACAGGAGACACTGGACTAGATTGATTGACAATGGTCTACAGCAATCAGAACGCACAACACGATGTACTGTAAAAAAAAAAATAAATAAATCAGCGAAACAGCAAGTGTCGCGGAAGGTGCGCCGCGTTATAGCGAGGGACCACTGTACACTTTTGGCCACGAACAATTTAGGGGATGGTGAATTTTTTTGAACAAACCCAGAGTGTTAAAAACCCCCACTTAAAACCATTTTTATTTCTCAGCAGCATCAATACTAACAAAAACGCAATTTAGTTTTCGCTGTCAAAGTCGATTTAACTGAAGTTACGTGTTTCCGGTTACTGTGGAGGTCACGTGTTTCCGTTTACTGTGGAGGTCACGTGTTTCCGGTTACTGTGGAGCTCCACAGTGGCTGCAGCCAGGTGCTCTTGCCCCTCCCTCCTGACTCACAGCTTCTTCTTCTTCTTGGTTGACAACCAATGTTAAGGCGCATTACCGCCCCCTGGCTCACAGCTCAGTGGACATTTAGATGAGAAAATATATATTTGACACATTTAAGAAAAATACTAATAAAATAAAATAAAAATATATAAATGTTCCCTTTAGATTTTTTTTTGCTCTTTTTTGCTCTATAAAATAGTTGTTTTCTTTTACAATCATTCATCTTAGCAGTAGGATTTACATGAAAAGAGAAACAAATTAAGTTTGAGTGAAAATATACGTTTTTGCACTCTCTGGTCAACTGACTCAGTGACTCAAATGACTCAAGAAACCCAATTCACTTTGGTGAGTGACTCATTAAAACTCGATTCAGTAAAATGAATCTAATTTACCATCACTAGTGTGTACTGCCATTTTTTCTGTTGTTTTGATGTTTAGTGGTTGGTGTTACTTTTCTTGAAGCTATAGTCATCTGTAAAGTGGAAGAACACTGAGACTAAACAACAAAAATGTAAAGGGAAAAAAGTCTCAATCACAGAGACATGGTCAATCAGAGGTAGACAAAAAAATATGAGCAAATTTATGCTGTGAACCCGTAATATGAATCAGGCCAATGCTGCCTCAAAATGAGCCTTTCGTTTTAGCCTGGTGGATCTTGAGAAACTAAATTATGTAGAAAAGACACACAGGATAATGCTGCTGACTGGAAGAGGGAGTTTCCTGGAGATATTTTCCTAGTGTCATTGCTGGAATCTGTATTTTATTTTTTAGTGCCTTCTCTCTTCTTTCTGTTGACACCCATTAAATAATTCCAGATCACATTTCAAAATCAGGGCTGGATTTGAAAAACTTTCAGTTGTATAAATGCGGCTGCTCAAATCTTAGACACAAAGAGACTGGCTACTTTAACTGTCTATAGGTCTGGGATCACATGTAAAACCTGCATGGAGAGCATTTTATAAAACCCCATTCACAAAAAAGGTTGGAGAGCTACAGTGGAGGATTTTAGGTGGTGCAGTGGCTGTAGATGCTTTTATTTCTGTTTTGATCCAAGTGGTGATGAGAACCGCATGTTCTGTCCTCTCAGAGAGAAGCTCTGTTCCACTGTTTCCTGGACTGAAGCTCATTCTAGTCTGTGTGTGGATCATTGCAGAGGCTGCTCCATTTATTTGGACAGTGTTTTTATCTACAGACGGTCATTCTGGGTCTCATGTCACAGGTCAGTCTCAAACCAGAGTCAAATTTTAACTATTGAAATTAAAAAATTTTATCAAAATTATATCAACAGAAAATAGAAAATAGAGCATTAATTGCATTGTGATGTTAAAATAATGTTGATCAGGATGATCAGAACTCTCATAAACATTGATTATCAATATTACTGTATGGTGAATAATCTGGAAAAATGTAAGAATATTTTTATTAAAATCTTATCATGTGTTTTGTAAAAAAAAAAAAAAAAGAACTTGTCTTTGAGTTAGTGCTGTTTCATAACTGTTTCAGTGATGCCTGATCTCTCTCTCTCTCTGTTGACATGGTGGATGAGTGATTTTGTGAGTGTGATGCACCATGAGTGAACTGTCTGAAACTTTTCTCTCTCTTTTTTTTTGTGATTAATTGTTTTTAGAAAAACAAACATATAATCCATAATGTCAGTGAGTAAAAGTTAAGCAATGATCTAAAAACCAAGACAAGGAGATCTATGAGAAAAAAGACAACATTCAAAAAGAAAAATCTGGCCCATAAGAAGACAAGAAAAAATATGAAAGAAGGGGGAGATGAATGGACAGAGAGCAAGACATAAGGCATTTAACCACGTCCTTTGACCACGTATCCTATGGGGGGTGCTTTGGGAGTATGGGATCTCTCACCTGGTGCTATGATTGACTCTCTCCTTGTACAACTATTGTGAGAGCTTGGTCTGAATTGTCAGCAATAAGTCAGACTAAATCCCTGTGGGTGTTGGATTCTGCCAGGGTTGCCATTTGTCTCCAACTCTCTTCTTAGTTTTTATGAACAGAATTTCTAGGTGCAGCCTAGTGGCCGGAGGCTTCCACTTTGGTAGCCTCAGAATCTTATCTCTGCTTTTTGCAGATGATGTGGTTGT